CACAGGGAGCTAGTAGTGGAGTTGTAATGTCTATTTAGTCTAGAACTGCGGTTGTGCTTCTAATATCTCTTCAAACATATTTGGTTTTTGATTTCTATATCTACCTTTATAAAGCTAATGATTGAAACTAAATTATGCTACGGGAATATTGCTAAGTTGTAATTAATATAGAGAAAGGCACTAGTGTCGTGGCATTACCTAGGTGGTTAACTAACGGGTAGATGCTACTAAGGATAGATTGACATATTTGGGGCTTATGCTATAACCGTTGCAAAATTGTACCCACTCTCACACCTCTCGGTAGAGAGAGTGATTTTGCCCAATTGACTCTCTCGAGACCAATTGGGTAGGCCAATTAGACCAAGCAACTAGGGTTCAAGTAGGGTGATTACTCTCTCGAGGTTTAACCCGTTAATTGGGACTACCATTTCTCATGGGTCCATCCTAATTCCTTGTTGGATCAATTTTGGGGTTATAGACTCTCTTTCTCAAGAAGAGTTAAACCCACCAAGCTAGAATCAGTGTTTGCAACCACCAATCCTTAATTAAAACCTAAAATTAACCCAAATAGCAAACACCTAATATCAATCTAACCTTAGATGGAAACACCCATCAATTACCCACACTAGGATTGAGCCACAACCCTAGCTAGCGAGTTTAGCTACTCATGCTAGATGCAAAAATTAAAGAAATAGATGAAGAAGTAAACATATTAATTAATTGCTAGGAAGAAAATACAATATTGAAGAGCAAAAGTGCCAAAAATGGCTAAACTATTCGGTCTCACGAGCTCAGCAGCTTCAAAAAATAAAACTTGACCTAAAAATGGAAAAAGGTCCTATTTATACTGGGCTGGAAAAACTGGACAAAAATACCCCTGCGGGGTCAGCCCGGACCGCGAAAACATGACCGCGGCCGCGCTGGCTCTTAAACTATTGGTTTCTGCTTCTCTGAAGTTGAGGACCGCGGACCGCGTGAAAATGTAGCGCGGCCGCGGTGGAAGTTGGCGCGGCCGCACAGAAATGAGCGCGGGCCGCTTTGCTTAGAAGGGGTCAAATTTTGGCTCTCTGAATCTCTGCTCCGCGGACCGCGTAAAAGTGTAGCGCGGCCGCGGAGCCTGACCGCGGACCGCGTGGAAATGACCGCGGCCGCGTAGCCTTCCCTTTGAATATGCCATTCTCTGAACCTCCTAGTGCGGCCGCGGTCACAGTTGCGCGGTCCGCACTAGGTCATCTTTTCCTCAACTTCCTTAGTCTTTGATACTTGAGCAGGTTTCACTCCTTTCTGAGCCGATGTTTGACTTTCGTCGCTTTGTCGATCAAACCTGCAATCAAGTACAACTTGTGAGCATTTTGGGACTATTTTGTAGCAATTTATAACCAAAGCGTAGGCAAGTAGGGGTATAAAACACGTTAAGATCCTAACTTATCACAGGGGGCCGTAGTTTGATGGATAATTCTATATTCCGAACATATTTCTGCAAACGAAGATTCATATTCTCCACCCCTATCACTTCTAATAATTTTGATCTTTTTATTCAGTTGATTCTCCACTTCATTCTTTTATTGGTTAAATGCTTCAATTGATTTATTCTTACTATTTAGCAAATAAACATAACAATATCAAGTACAATCATCAATAAAAGTTATAAAATACTTTTTCCCACTCTAGATGGTGTCGACTTCATATTACAAATGTCAGTATGAATTAAGTCTAAAGGATTTGAATTCCTTTCAACAGACTTATAAGGATATTTTACAAACTTAGATTCAACACATATTTGATATTTTGATTTATTACACTCGAATTTAGGCAATACTTCTAAATTAATTAACTTTCGCAAGGTTTTGTAATTGACATGTCCTAAACGAATATGCCATGAATCATTTGACTCCAATAAATAAGAAGAAGCTAAAATTTGAATCCATTCTTAACAAGTAAAAAAGTTGAAACTAAATTCTTCCTAATAGTAGGAACATGAAGAACGTTGTTGAGCATTAACACCCTGCCGGAAGTCATCTTCAGGAATATCTTCCCATAACCCTCAATTTTGGCAGTTGCAGTATTTTCCATGGAAAGCTCTTCTTTGGGACCAGCAATAGAGTAAGTCGCAAATGCTTCTTTGACAGCACAAACATGTCGAGTGGCTCCAGAGTCAATCCACCACTCCTTTGGATTTTCAACTAGGTTGCATTCCGAAAGCATTGCACACAGATCATCAATGTCGTCATTCTTCGCCACTATGTTGGCATGTCCTTTTTCTTATCCTTTTTGGGGAGACGACAATCAGGGGCTTTGTGACCAGCTTTTCCACAATTGTAGCAGTTTCCCTTGAATTTCTTCTTGTTCTGCTCCTTAGTCTATCCAGAAGACCTCTTCCTATTCTTACTTTTCGGAGCAGTCTCCTCAACAATAATAACTCCCATAATTGTTGAATTTCAACGAGACTTCTTCTCAGCTATTTTGTTGTCTTCCTCAATCTTGAGACGAATCACAAGATCTTCCAGCTTCATTTCTTTGCGCTTGTGCTTAAGATAGTTTTTAAAATCTCTCCATGAAGGTGGCAATATTTTAATCATTGCAGCCACTTGAAATGCTTCTTTCACTACCATACCTTCAGCAATAAGGTCGTGAAAAATAAGTTAAAGCTCTTGAACTTCGGTTCCAACGGTTTTGCTGTCTATCATTTTATAGTCTAGAAACTTTGCAACCACAAACTTCTTCAAGCATGCATCTTCAGTCTTGTACTTCTTCTCAAGTGCATCCCATAATTCTTTTGAAGTTTTTATAGCACTGTAGACATTGTACAAGTCATCATCCAAAGCACTTAGGATGTAGCCTTTGTAAAGAAAGTATACCTGTTTCCCGCCTCAACAATCATAAACTTCTTATTGTCTGACATGTTGGCGGCAGGCACTAGAGGGTCTTCACTAGTGAACTTCTGCATACCAAGCGTGGTAAGCCAGAAAAATACCCTTTGCTGCCATCCTTTGAAGTTGGCTCTAGAAAATTTTCCCGGTTTCTCGGCCGGTGATACAACGGTTCGGCTTGACAAGGCTATCGTCGCTGCCACAACAGTCGCAGAAGAATTTCCATTATCAATTGACATTTCTCACTGTCCACAACAGAAGAGTTCAATTAATGGCAGAAAATAGAACAATAAACAGTACTGTAATAAATGCTAAACAATACGTTTAATAAACAAAAACCGAAGTTTTGTATATACTGTTTCACAATAAAACTATGAAGTTTTAATGTTCTTCAAATCGTTTCTGAATTTTAATACTCCGATGAAGTTTTTATATCTTCAAATCAGAAATGAAAAAGTTCAGACGGAGTAAAAAACCACAAATATATTAATCTCCAAAGCAGAATATAGATTACAGTATATTAATAATTTTCTTAAGATTGTTGGTCAAACTGTAATGCTATAATATAAAGAAACAGTAATACTTCTGTAACAATAAAAACAGAAAACAGGAAGAACAGTAGTATAACAGAAATGTATATATATAATTAGAAGCACAATCTGAAAATATATTTCGAAAAAAATCGAGCCCACTGAATGCACAATGTGTCCTTAAGGAAATTATTCCCCTCAAGTACCCGAGGTTTTGGAATATTATCCTCCCAGGATAGAACGATTTAACTCACCAGTGTATTGGTACCAAAAACTCTGATGAACTTCGAACCACTCAATGGTTGTGAAACACACTGGAAAATTTTGTGCAGAAGAAGATCAGAAAATTTTGTAAGGAAAGATTCTGGGATCAAGACATATTTATAGCCTTTCTGGTACTGTTTCTGAAAAGGTTCGTAAGAAAAGTTTGTAAGGAAAGATTTTGGGATCGTACCACTCAATGGTTGTAAAACACACTGGTAATTTCTACCGGGTCGCGTCGCGGGTCCTGGGGTATTCCGGGTTGAATTTCGTTTATTAATTAAATAATTGAAAGAAATTTTGTCTAAAAAGATTAATCAAGAATCGAAAGTTGAGCCAAGCGAGCGACAACAGCGACAGCGCAAGGCTTACTTTCTTTTCAACCCATTTAACACCAAGAGAAGTGCTTTCTCAATATAAGCACATTCACTTTTCTTTCCACCACCAATGAGGGACACTTTGCTCTTTCCAAAGCAAAAGGGAGCTCACTTTCTCTCCACTTTCTTTCCTCCATTTTCCATTCACCAATCTTTAATCCCAATAATATCCTAGCCGAATCAGAAGGGAAGTCAATTGGTGCTGCAGTATTTAGAATGACTATGGATACTGTGGTGTATGGCTTGAGAGGACTTGAAGAATATTCCAAGGTACAAAGAAGATCACCAATACTATTATTAAGCAAATTGTTCAGCAAGTTCATTGTCGAGGAGCTATGAAATGGTTGTTAGTTGGTTGGAGAAGATCAATTTCTACCCTGTTTGGCTTATATCATGAGCAGCAGAATAATGTTAGGTGTTTTCGCTAATACTAAGGCTTGTTGTCCCGTATTAGTTTTGTACTTACACTCCAATTTTGGTAATAAAATTTGTTTGTTTACCAAAAAAAGTATTTTTTTAATGTTAAGGTGTTTTAATATATAACAAATAATATAACTTATTATGTGACACCCTTTCATTCTTATTCTTAGTATGTCGCAATTTTTATTTTTTTTACTTTTTTACATTTAGGAATATTTAATATAAACGTTATTGTACCCATAATAAAGTGATTTATAACACAAATATGTAAGACTTATTTTAAAACACTAAGTTTCACAAATGATTTATTTTTTTAAAACAAAATATTAAGTTAAATAATACCACATAAATTATGACCAAAGCAATGTTTGTCAAGTCAATCCACTCAAACTAGTGACCTTTATTCTTTAAGTTAGTGTGGGCCAGAGCCGCTAACTCGTGGCACCAACTCTCGAACATTCTTGTGCAGTAAAGGCGGCACATTGTTGGAAGAAGTAGCAAGAAACTTCTCTAAGCTTTTACAATGTACTACTACTAGAAAGTTTTAGATTTATCCTTACATCATAATGAAACCACCTTTAAATAGCCTCCTCTATAATATTGCTGAACAACAAGAAGTTCATATCGGCATAAATATATCATAAGCTGCAACCAACAACTTTTATTAATTTAACCTTGCGGGATATATCTTAATTAGAAATGGCTTTGTCACGTTTAGCTTTGAAGAATCTGCAGCAAAAGTTGAGTTCTTGCTCATCAACTCTGCTGAATTCAAGTCAGAGGAACCTCAATAATGTACAGAAACAGAGATGGTGCTCTGAACTTGTACGACGTTTCTCCACAGAAGCTGCAGTTGGCAAAGAAAAAACTGAGACCCAAGAAATAGCAGTCTCCGAAGGTGGCAAGAAATCAAAGCTATTTCCAAGGAGACGCCGCCGTGGCAATCTTTGGAGGCGCAACGACTCTGACTTTGCACCTGCTCTATGGGGTAAGGCTTCCTTCACAAACGACACACTTTTATTTACTTAATTATATATTATATCATTAACACGTGGGCGGAATATAAATTTATGAGTAAACATTCACTAAACTTACAACAAATAATTGATATTAACCCTAAACTTTAGCTAGCATTTGAACATAGATTTAATTGAAATTTAAAAAAAATAAGTTTTTCAAAGTGAGATGAAAAATAATTTTTAAAAGTTAAAATTATATTTGGACTATATATGGAAAAAAAAAAGTTTTGTTAGTGGAGAAGTTCAAAAATTACTCTAGAATTATTGGGATTTTTTTATTTCCGTCTTTCTGAGCCGAGAGTCCATCGGAAACAGTCTCCCTGCCCTTTCGGGGTAGGGGTAAGGTCTGCGTATACATTACCCTCCCCAGATCTCACTTTGTGGGATTTTACTAGGTAGTTGTTGTTGTTGTTGCAGTAGTTATTGGGATTTGAAAATTTGTTTTTAAAATCTATCAAAAAATAGTTAAAATCTATAGACCTTTAGATATTTGAAAAAAGGGATTCCAAATTTTATGGCCAAACGACAGCTTAATAATATAATGGGTTCGGTGCTAAATTTTTTAAAGATTGAACCCATAAAGTTTAAATCTCGAACACGTTTTTTTTAGGACAAGCTTGAATTTTGTTATCATCACATTTAGGAAGCACGTTTTTATTTACTTTTACCTAATATAGTCTTTTGAGTAGCGAATGATCTAGCTTTCTTAGGAAGTGGAATTCAATTTATAACTTTCGACTTAGATCATGTATACGCTAAAAAAAAATGTATATATGACGCATATATAATATATTTAGTTGTCTAAATTCTAAATTTGTTCATTGTTGGCACAGAAAATTTACCTTCAGGACTTGGAAATGCATTGTTGCAAGCCACTGAGAATATCAACAGGATATTCGAGAACCTGAATTTAAGCCCCTCGCAACTAATGGGAAGATATAAGGAGGACGAGAAGAGCTACAAAATCCGATACGATTTGCCAGGGCTAAGCAAGGAGGACGTGAAGATCACAGTGGAAAATGGAGTTGTAACAATAAAAGGTGAACACAAGGAAGAACAAGAAGAAGGTTCAGATGACGAGTTCTGGTCGTCTTCAAGAAGCTATGGATACTACAATAATAGCATCGTCCTACCTGAAGATGCTAAGGTTGACGAGATCAAGGCTGAAATGAAAGATGGTGTTTTGACAATCGTTATTCCTAAAACTGAGATACCTAAGAAAGATGTCAAGGAAATTCAGGTTATGTGAGGTTCTTTTGTTCGATAAAGTAATATCAGTACATATGTTGTAGTGTCCTAATTCCAAGTTATGTGTGAGCTTTTGCTTTTGTTATTAAATATGACTGTTATTTACTCTCTACTAAGTGGGCGTCTGGACATAAGTATTGTAAAATTTCAAAAATAATGTGATATTTTTTTCAAGTCAAAATGGTATTCGAAATTTAGAGTTGTGTTTGGATATGAGTATAATTATGTGTTGTTTTGAAGTTTTGTGAGTGATTTGAATGAAAATTTTACTTAGCGTTTGGTCATAGATCCCAAATTTATTTTGAAAAATCTGATTTAGGTGAAGTTTGGTTTGAAGATGAAAATGTATTTGGACATAAATTTTGAAAACATATTTTCTAACTTTATTTTGGAAAAACATGTATATAATTTTCAAGTTTTGGGATTTTGGCCCAAAATCAGCTCAATAGCTGATTTTGGGATTTGGGTTTGAGATTTGGGATTTGGCCAAAATATGGGCAAAATTTATGGACAAATATGAGTTTTGAAAATAAATTTTAAATTTATTTTGGCAAAATTCATGGTCAAACCTTAAAAAATAATTTTTTGGAGTTTTTTAAATTTTTAAAAATTTTTAAAATACATCTTTAAGTGAAAATTGTAAATTTTATAAATAAAAACTGATTTAAAAAAAAGAAAGAAACGGAAAAAAGGGATGGATTCTTTTTATGTCCAAACGAACTCTAAGTTATACTCCCTTCGATTTATTTAAGTAGAGTAAATAAATACAAATATGTCTAGACTAATTTTTAAAAGATTAGAAAAAATTATAAATTATCCATTGTGTATGGATATCAGAGGAAAGCATGATCTAACATGGCTTCGAGTTAAGCCTAGGGATTTCACGTATCAGAGCCCGGGGAGGACCAATGGTGCATTTGGGACAGGAAACGGCCGAGCATTGGGCTCGAGCAGAGTGAAGAGCCAAAACTAAGGGAAAAGACAGTTAGACAGGATAAGGGAGGACCCGAAACATCCGCCCTCAACTTGATGTTGCAACGTAAAACTTACCCGATATCAACGGCGTATCAATGTTTACCGGAAAGAAAAGACTTTTTACCTTATTTAGACTTGTATTCGGATTGAAATTCCCCTACTATATAAAGGGAAAACCTTTTATTTTGAGCACCGCTGTTGGCTTGCATATCAAACCAATAAAATTAAGTTTCGTTCTCTAGTTAGTGTTCAAAGTATTCTTCAGCTGCTTGTTTATTGAGTTGCAACCGAATCGTTCCGAGGGTTGGATAGGAACAGATTTCCAAACGTGCAAAGCTAGATTTAATCTTCCTTCGCATTTGGTTTGATCGCCTTGTTTTTTTTTTTTTTAATTCAATTATTTGTTGTTTTCAATTCATTCGAGTTAAATTAAATCACATATCCTTTAAATCGAATAGAGTCAATTATTACTTATTTTAAGGGTAAACATCCATATAAACAAATTAAACTTTTGGGTTGACTTGATTGGTTTTTTCTTTTACAGGACCCAATTAACCAAACCAAACCAAGTATCGGTCTTTTAAGTGGGTTGATTCAATCTTTCCGTTCAGTTCCATTTTTCAATTTTTCTTGAATCCTTCAACTTCCCATAACGAGCGTTTGGCGTAAAGAAACATAATTTTTTGGTTTATTAAGAAAGGAACTTACCTAGCTACCACACTCGTGTTTGCTCAATTAATTTCATAACACGAAGTCCATGTAACATTAAACCACAAGTTCATCTGCATTCAATTAATACTTTAATTCGATTGGTCTCTACCGAATAGGAGCAAGAGACTTGGAGGCAACAACTAGAATAAAATATTATTGTGAAATGCCATATCATCAGATTTACCTATCAGAATCCGAACAGACTAACTACTAGATCTACTTATCATCGTCAGTATAACCATAAAAGAGATCATTAAAAAGTGTGAGCCATTACCGCGCTCCATTTTGTATCCGTGGTTATCTTTCTAGCTGTCACCATTTAATTAAAGGAGTTTAAAAATGATCCAGTGGCCACATGGAAAACATACTCCCTTGACTTCTCACCATTAGTATAATTGAATTAGAAGACTTCCTATTTTGAAACTTTCTCACCATGCAGTTTAAGAGTTAAGATCAACTCAAAATTCCTTCCTTTATATAAAATTATGTAGACATATAATTATATCATCCATCTCTAGCAAGCAAGAAATTAACAACTTCCTCACTTACTTTCTTTTTTCAATAACTCACAGAACTTCGTTCATTTCAAACGAAATATTGTTGAGAGTAATTAGACTTGAAGGGCCAAAACAAATTTACCTTGAAGGGTAATTTAGACTATTTATAAACTAGTTAGTTAAGAAGTTTGTTAGTCCTTGACAGCTAAGTATAGACAGGTGGTATATAAGGAAAAATTTTATTTTGTGCCTCACACAACTGACATTAGTTGTATGAGGCATCTTTTTTGTCTCACAACTCTATGGGTCCCAAAATTTTGTGGACCCAGATGTGTAAGATATGGGTCCATAAATATGTGAGATAAAAAGAGGCCCTCACCCAACTAGTGTAAGTTGTGTGAGACACAAAATAAAATCACTTCTGTACAAGAAAGTTACGTGTATTTCATTTTTCTCAGCTTTTCAATGAAGCGATTTCTCTCCAAACACAAATCTTCATTTTCTCCCATTTCTCGGCATGTTATCTTCTTCATCAAGCTCTAAATTCTACATGGTAACAGAGCAGAGAGCTATGGATTGTAGCTTATAAATTGATCTGATTCTTCTTCTGCTCGTACTCTTCGAATTTTCTCTTCCAAAATCGATCTGACTCAAATTGTAGCTCAATTTTTTTTTCTCTCAAGCCCTAGTCTGCACACTAATGGCGATAGATGACTTAGAGAAAGAAACACAGCGACTACAACAGAAATTTCTCAACTATCATCTGATGATAAATTTGAAGAAGGCGTCACAGTCTCAGTTACTCACCCACTCTTATCTTGCCCCTAGGGAAACCACTGGTATTTCTCTTATCTCCTTTCAGCAAACTGACACCGACAATATCTCACTATGGCATTAATCTATGTTAATTGCTCTGCTTGGCCGCAATAAGCTTGGAATTGTGGATGGCAGATAGAAGAAGGAGAGATTTCGTGAAAACTATTGGTACCAATGGGAAAGGTGCAATGCAATTGTATTGTCGTGGCTAATGAATGTAGCTGGTCCAAACCTAATCATTATAATTTCTTACGCTACCAATGCCCACGCAATATGGATTGATCTGCAAGAGGGATTTGACAAAGTAAATGATACTCGTTGCTACAATTTACACAAAGAAATTGCTACTCTAAGTCAAGGTACTTCATCTGTTTTTGTTTATTGTTCCAAGCTTAAGGACCTTTGGAATGAAGCAAAGGCTCTAGTGTCCAGTCCTGGTTGTGATTATGTCAAATCTAGGGGTTTTATTGTGCATCTACGCAAACAGAAATTGTATCAATTTTTTATGGGCTTAAATGACTCCTACTCACAAACTCGCAGTCAAATTCTTATGATAAAGCCAATACCCTCTATAATTCAAGCCTATGTTATGCTAGTCAGTGATGAGAGTCAAAGAACCGTGGCAGCCACTGCTGGTATTTTAGGTCCTCTATCTAATGTACACTATGAGTCAACTGCATTATACAATTCTAAACCACTGGCAATCAAAAGTTCAGGAAGAATTACAACATACATTATGAATTCTGCAAACTTAAAGGAGACAACAAAGAAAACTGCTATAAAATTGTTGGTTACCCGCTCGACTTTAAGCATAAGAGGAAAGAGGGAGCATCTACCACAGCTGCTTACACTGTCTTCTCAGTGACACATAATGTGAATATACCTCAATCTCCGGGTCTAGGAAGTCCTGCACCTTAATTGTATATGCCTAAAGGTTGCATTCCAATTGCATCTCAAATACCTACTACAGAAGGTCAATCCACCTCCTCTGTGCCAGTGCATTAAGAACTTCCACAAGCTCCAATGACTCTCACAAAGGATCAATATGATCAAATTATTCAGTTTCTCAATAAGACATCTTGTTCCTCGTCTGCTGCTAATGCTGCAGGTATAAGTACTACCTTCTTAGCAACTGATAATATACAACAATGCATTATTGACACTGGTGCTATCGAGCACATGCTCTCTGATCCTAGTCTGTTAACCAAGTTTACAGTTGATCCTCCTTACTCTAAGAAGGTATTCTTACCTAATGGAGATGTTTCATAGGTTAAACATATTGGTACTAGTGCCATATAAGAGAAAAGTACAATTAAAAACGTGCTTTATATACCACAGTTCAAGTTTAACTTGCTATCTGTGTCAAAGGTTACCAAAGAGCTGTAGTGTTAAGTTGCCTTCTATCCTGATTTTTGCATATTTCAGGATCTCTTTAGTGGGAGGGTGAAGACGATTGGTAGAGAATATAAAGGTTTATACATATTGCCCTCTTGGATTTCATCGACTGTCAACAAACAAACTGCAGAAGTTTCACTAGCAACCACACAGAATAAAGACATTTTTCTACTAAGGAGACACAAGAAATGTGGATCTCAAGCTATGGAAAAGAAGAGTTGATTATGTGTCATCATCAGTTCTTAATTAGCTATTTTCAATCAAGCAAGAGAGTTGTATTTCTGTTGTGAAGGAATGTTCTGTTTGTCCATATGCCAAGCTGGCTAGACTAACTTTTCCTAGTAGTACTAATAAAAGCGTAGCTTGCTTTAAATTGTTACATTTAGATGTATGAGGACCTTACAACACTGCAACTACTGATGGAAATAGATATTTCTTTACTGTGGTGGGCGATTACTCTAGAATGACCTGGATTTTTCTTTTAAAACTCAAGCTAGATGTATGTGTTGTATTGCATGATTTCTTGGTGCATGTGAAGACATAGTTTAACAAATAAGTTATGTGAGACCTTCTTTTTCACTTCTAGACTCCATAAGGACTTGTTCATCAACAACCTTTCTATTACTCCTTGTAAGAGGAGTCCTGGCAGGAGGATCACACCTTTCCTTGTTGGGACTGCTGACTTTGTAGCTTTCGCAGGAGTCTTCTTGGGTTTCTTTCCTGCCTCAGATAGTGGCATATCATCTTCATCACTCAGATAGTGGCATATCATCTTCATCACTGCTAACTACTTCATCTCCAATGAAAGGAGTTAACAGAGACCCAAGTTCTTGAGCCCTTGTCTCTTCACCAGTTTTTTCTGAAGGGGCTACGACAGTGTTCCCAATGATCATAAAGCCTTCAGATTCCTCACTCACATTCTCATTTTCTTCCTCACTCTCTTCATCACCTCATTCACTCTCACTTACCTTTTCTTGATCCTCACCCTCACTTTTAGAGTCGTCCTTTTCCTCACTATGATTTTCTTTTTTTGCGAAATCATTAACTTGTTCACCTGTCTTATCATCTGTATCACTCTCCTTCTCATCTTCAGATGCTCCCTCATTCTCCCTCATGCAACTATTGATGGAAATAGATATTTCTTTACTGTGGTGGACGATTAATCTAGAATGACCCGGATTTTCCTTTTAAAACTCAAGTCAGATATATGTGTTGTATTGCATGATTTCTTTAGTGCATGTGAAGACATAGTTTAACAGATAAGTTAAGTGTGTTAGATACGATAATGGGCTGAATTTGTTAACTTTATCTGTAATACACTGTTTAAAAGACTTGGTATTGTTCATCAAAGAACTCATGTTTATACTTCTGAGCAAAATGGAGTTGCTAAAAGAAAACATAGGCACATTATAGAAGTGTGTCGAGCCTTGAGGTTTCAGGGTCACATCCCATTAAAATTCTGGGGACACTGTGTGTTGGGAGCTGTATATCTTATTAATAGGATGTCGTCTTCACAGCTAGGTCACAAATCTTCATATGAATTATTTTGGCTAGATTCAAGCCAATCGGAGTTGGAAAATCGAGGGAAAGGCCTTCTTATTGATTGATTGAGTGAGGTTTGAGGTAAGTGACTTGTCTAACCTTGTGTGCGGGAAATTCCCCTTAGGATTTGGTACTATTAGGATAAATTGCAATACGTGAAGGCCGTGTACGTGAGGTGACGAGTGCGTACTCGGGCTAATTGTTGAAAATTCGAGTTTTGCTAAGTAGTTTCCTTTTTATTTCCATAATTGAGTTACTCTAGCATGTGTTGTCATCATGTTTAGCCTAATTTCACATGTCTTCGTGTCTTATCTCTTATTTGCAATTTGTACAACCTGCTTACTTGAATTACCTGTTTCTTTGATTCCGTATTCATTCTTTAATTGTAAGATTCCTTGCTTGTACTATCATTTTCTCATTTGTTATGTATAGATTTCGTGATTTATCTGTTGAGATGCCTGTTGGGTTTTGGCACGAGGTTTTTGCCGTGCGAGTTGTGATTGTGGCACGAGGTTTCTGTCGTGTGGATGGTTATTGTGGCACGAGATTCTGCCGTGCGGATTGTTACTGAGGCACGAGGTTTCTGCCGTGCGGTGGTTATTGTTTGCACGAGGTTTCTGTCGTGCCGTTGTGAGATATTTACTTTTGGACTATGAGGCGGTACCTCGGGAGCGACCCTGTTGTTCTCCTCTATTTGTTGTATTGTTGTTATTGTTGTTATTGTTGTTGTTGTTGTTGTTGGTGTTCCTTAACTTGTAAGATTCTTGTTTTCTTACGTGTTGTAATTGTCTCCTTGATTCCGTGTTGTTTCCTTCTGTCGATTTCTATGGTTGTACTCCTCTGTCATTTCATTATGTCTCTATATCTTCTGCCCTATCTTTCCTATTATTTCCAGTAGGGCCCTGACCTAACCTCGTCACTACTCTATCGAAGCAGAGGCGGACCCAGGATTTAAAAATGACGTGGGCACCATTATCTTTAATATAGACGGAGTGGAGAACTTTACCGAGAGTTGTTGGGTTCCGGCGGATGGCGTCAAACTTTCGGCGATGACCGACATGTATGAGTGAGTGAGGAGGTGAAGTTGGGTATGGAATTTGGAAAAAGGAAAGAGAGAAGTGATTTGGAGCTTTTAAGGCCGAGGTTTAATCAAAACAAAAAAGAGTTGAAAAAAAAAAGATTAAAAGAAAAAAGGTTTTGGGGGGAGAGGCGAGGAGAGAGGAATGAAACCTAAGGTAAAAAGGCAAGACATGAACAAATAATCTAAGCTAGAGTTAATATTTCAGGTGAGGGAGTAGGGATCCAACCCAGGACATCCCACACTACAGTAGAGGTAAAATAGCAGATTCTACCAGTGCCCCAAACGAGCTTTTGTGCATTAGGGTGCCTAATTAAATATATACCTGTTCAAGGTATATATACATATAATACATATATATACAGAATTTTTTCCGAGGTTTACGGGGTCCGGTGACCCCCCTACCATACACGTAGGTCCACCTCTATATCGAGGTTAGACTTGGCACTTACTAGGTACCGTTGTGGTGTACTCATACTACTCTTCTGCACATCTTTTTGTGTAGATCCAGGTACTTTCTATCAGACCAGATATCAGTGAGCTAGTTTGTACGTGGAGACTTCAAGGTATATCTACCAGCGTCTGCAGACCTCGGAGTCCCCCTCTATCTCTATTATGTTGTTTTCCTCATTTTCATTAGACTCTGATGTGTAGAGATATTAGTACTTCTCTTTAGAGCTTGTGACTTATTTTCATCGGGTTTTGTGAGTTGTAATTATTTTGAATTGCAGTTTTTATTTATTTCAGATTTTGAGGTGTGAGTTTCAGTTTAATATTCGGTTATTCCGCATAATTGTTAGGCTTACCTAATTTTAGACACTAGGTGCCGTCGTGACATCCTACGAAAGAAAGTTGGGGTCGTGACAAAGTAGAAGCCAAGATTTCGAACTTTAAACATGTTATACTTAATTTACGTTGCAGCAAACCAATGATTGAATTTAGATTAGCGTAAACTTTTCTTACTACTAGCTTGTATTTGATTCAGCTTTGTGTTAATTAGATATTGTATTGTTTCAAAGATATTTTTGAGTTGATTAGTAAATAATATTTTTGCAATTATCTTGTGAAGTACCATATAATTGCACTAAATTATATAAAATTGTAGATATAGGAGCTGGAGATAAAGAGGAGGAAATTAGGAGCATCAGGATGGCGGGGAAGGTTGAGGTCATAAATTGTTCAGATATATTTTAAAAACTTTCTATTATGTAAAATACATTGTATCAAAATATATTTATACATATTATTTATAAAAGCAAATCTAACGTTATATATTACGTGTAAATGTTAAAGTGAAACTTTTCAGATTTACAATTCAACGACAATATAAATAAAAACAGATAGTTAACAAATGCTATTCCTAAACTAATTGGGTGAGAAAATAATATTAATTAATAGTAATATAACATATTATTAATAACAAAATAGATATAAATTTTAACATTGTCAATATAAAATGTTATTAGATATTAACAATAAAATATGTTTGGATAATGCTTTTATCTAAAAAATGCATTGCGGTAATTATTATTTTTGAAATTAAAGCAAAAATATGAGTACCTTTCACCAACAAGGGTACCAACAAAACGAGTCCTCTTGTAGAAAAGGCTGAATTAATGCTAATAACAACAAAAATAGTTTTCACCAAGCTTTTCCTAATTTCCACCCACTTAGACGCTAGGTCAAATATTATTTGAAACAATTCTGTCATGCCGATATTATTACGCACTTTCATGTAAGCCACTGCTCCAATGCGGTGGGCAGTCAAAGTCCCTCATAGGTTGAAATAGTAATGCGGTCTAGTCCATTGTCTATGTTTCTATCTCTAGCAACTTTATTGCTTCCGATAT